AAATTACAAAGCCAGAGGCAGTGTTGTTATTCCACGGAGGGAGTGAGATCATTACTGAGGAAATTGCAGGCCTGCTCCTGCCGTTGTTTTACCATGGTGTGATAATAGACTTTGTTTCATTAGTATAAACGATTTTCCCCCTCTCCCTCCTGGCTGAGTACGTTGCACTCCTTCTTGWGTCCCCAGTGACTCCCCACAGTCAATGGCAATCGTGGCAAGCTGAGTTCCTATTTGTGTTTTCACAATAGTTTGGAAAATATTAACTCTCTGGGCAGTTCTTTTGGTGCTGACCAATGTCCCTGTGCAGGGACAGCCCTYCAGGGCCCCATTTCACTGTGGAAAAGCAGGAAAAGCTGAGCTGCATGATGCACCCCAGCAATGGGGCTACTGGTGGCCCCAAATCTTCCAGCACTATGCAGTGGAGTCTTTTGGAGTGTTGCTGTTCCATTACCTATGTGGTCATCACATGGTTCTTACCAGCAGACCTAGAACATTTACAGTGGCTCTGTGCCACTTTACACTGCCAGAAGGTCATTGTTGTGAAACCTGGAAAAAACCCCACATTGCTGGAARCCTCTGGGTTACAGATTTTTGGGGTCTCATCTCTTAGCTTGTGTGAGAGCCCTACCCTGAAATATTTCAGCAGAAATTCATCCAAGACAAGTTCCACCAAAAAAAGAGAAGCATTATTCCTATTAGTACTAGGCTAAGTTAAAAAAAAGAGATATCCCAAACTTTACAAATAAGGGATATATTTAAMTRTATCTATATATATACAGGGTCAGAGGTATGGGAGAGAAGAATGTTTTAGTCCCTKTTAGAAATACATCGGTGTTTCACACAGGCACTGGATATTTTGCAGCTCATAAAAAATTCATTTGGCTTGTTGAGGAAAACAGAAAGGCAATTCAGGTGTCTATTTTTCGAGCAGTGTCATACCTGCAAGAGTTTAAGCCAGTCTGGATTGATATTTCTTGTTATATGCCAAGCCTGCGTTATGATCCTCTCTGGATCATAGTTCAGTGACTCAAAGAAAATGAATGACAAGGTGGCCTGGCTTTGTGGAGGAGAAGAGAGGAGAGTCCAGGGTATTTTTGCCTTTTCTTTATGGTTTTGCAATCTCCTCTTCGGGGTCCTTTTCACTTCTGCAAACACAAAACTCAAGGTGAAAAGTAATTGGACAAGCTAACAAATGAGTTCAGGCTTGCTGCATTCCCCACTGGCGAGTGTCTGTGCTTCTCTTGCCGCCAGGAGCAGCCTCTTTGACACGGCCTTTCATGTACCAACTAACAAAGAATGGAAATCTGCCACAGGTACGAGAAAAGAGAGGCTTTAAACAGGACAGGCACTAAACCAGTGTGATTTATATGGGCTGAGGGTACTGCTTTACATTTCATCCTTCTTCCAGGGGCTGTATGATCCCAGCTGCATCTTTTGGGGATATTTGGTGCGCACTGTTGCTCTCCAGGCTGCAGAGTTTTACTGTGAGCAGAAGCCTCGTGGTGTGGGAGGGTTTGGGGTGTRAAGTGAAGCTCTTCTGAGCAGGCATTGCTCTTCCCATGGGCTGRTGGAGATGCTGGAGAGGGTGTGCTGTGAGCCAGGGGGTGCAGAGCCATGGGCAAAGCTCTGAGTGGAGCCAGCAGTGGGAATGCAGTGTCCCCACTGTGTCCTCCCTTGTCTTGTGTTGTCCCCTTGCAATGGAAGGTAAGGGGACAACAGTTGCCAGAAGGAAGTCACAGGGTCATGGAGGGAGCTGCCATCCCTTCCTGCACCAAAACACTGCCCTAATGTCAGCACCCATGTCACTGGAATGCATTGGGTGGCAAGAGATTAATTAATGATACTTTAATGTTGGTGCTGTCATTGTAGTGGGGTTTGGGGACAGCCCTGGCTGCTCCTCTCCCTGAGAAGCATCCCCCAAATGCACTGGGGACATTSCCAGCAGCTGGGATGGCTTTTGCTCCTCGCTCTGACTCTCCAGAGTCCTGCCCAGCATTTCTGTGGCTGCTCTTGCAAGGTCAAGCCGGGTACACAGCAGCTTCCTGAGAGCTTTGCCAGCTGTTTCTCTTGTCCTATTCTCACCTGACGCTGTAAATTAAGAAGCAAAAATCGCCCTGGCTGCTGTTAGCTTCTGCTGCAGGCTTGCAGGAGGGAACAATGACTTCATTTGGATTCCAGGACAGGGAGCCTGTGGCTCCTGCACGTTTGGCCAGGCAGGTATCAGCAGCTAAAGGTGCCTTGGGATCTCCGCTGCACACGCCGTTACYGTAAATGGTTTCTCTGTGCTAATACACAATATCTTTATTCTTTCCTTGCCAGCTCAGTAACTGGTAAATGACAGGTCCTGCTTTTCAATTCCACCCTCTTGCCAGGGCCTGTCACACTTTTAATTTGTGCAATAGCTGCAAGCACAGCAGTAATTGTGTTTCCCATTTCCCACAACTGCGGCGCTGCCTTTGTGCTCCCTCTTCCTCCGTCCTCTGCCCTGACTGGAGCTTTTTGATGTTTTCTGAATCTCCCCCCAGTGCTGCTGTTAAACTTATCTCATGTTTGATGTCTAATCGACTTCCTCCTCAATAAATACCCTGCAGGTGGCACGGGGCAGGGCAGGAGGGTGCACTGGGTGTGGGGCTGGGTGTGATTCTGGCTGCTGCACACATTCTGGCTGCTTCTGGGCAGTGAGGGGSTCTCTGTGTGCTCTGTCACCTGCCCAGGCTGGCAGGGTTGGGGGCTGAGGTGTGCACAGCTCCCAAATGTTACAGATTGCATGTGCAGATTGCAAATGTRCAGATTGCCCAGGACGGGACTGCTTTTGAAAGGCTCCCTTGAACCTGTGCATGTGTCTGGAGGTCCAGATGACTTAAGCAGAAGTAATTTTGGGGATGTGATTTTGCATTTGCTTCAGTGCATTTGAAAGGTCTGCTCAGGGCASTTAYAAACCCTTCAGCTTTTGAGCAGAAMTTTGGTTTCCCAACTGTTTGAGTCYTTGGGTTGGATTTTTYGGTGTCTTATMCAAGTYTAGCTTTYYCCTGCTTTTCCTGCAGGTTGMGTKCTCATCATGCCTTCACTTTAAATGCTCTGCTCCTGGTACAGCATCCTATAGTTTTAGGGCCAACGTGAAAGCCTTTTCCAGTGGGCGAGGGTAATTGAAACCACATTTTCTTAGCTGAGTAATTAGATTGATTCTGCAGAAAGGCRGACATGTGGAAAATTGAAAAATGGAAGAGTTGCATGCCCCCAGGCTGCAGATGAATATGTTGGTGCCTTTCTGARGAACACTGGCTCGATCTATTGAATTACAGCATGTGCTGAGACCAGCTCAAGCACCGTGCAAGTTCAGGCCCTGATCATGGGATGCTCAGACAGAAGGGGCTCCTTTTCTCACTCTGCTGGTCTGAAATATGGCCAGAACTGTCCCCTTTCCCCAGAACTTCTCACTGAATTGTGTAGTCTGAATTTTGCTCCTCTGCACAGCAAAAGGATGCATGTGTGTGAATCCAGCAACAGGACAAGCAGAAAAACTATCCATGTAATTATATAAACAGAGAAATTTTATCTACTTGAATGGTGCATTTGATGGGACCAGATCACGGACCACACAGTTACAGGGGTGTTGATGAGATTGTGCTTGTGTGCATTTCATTTATGGGTTTTCTGACCTCAGTATTTCTGTGGGCTTCACTCCCCAGATTAAACCAGCCATATCTCCTGCTTTGTATTCTTGCACATTGTAACAGCTGAGAACTTGTTTGGATGCTGCAGACATGCTGAGGTAGTGTTGGGGTTTTTGGGTCTGGAGAGAGCTCTGGGGATGTTTCTGGCTGAGATTATTCAGGCAAAGGTAAATATCCTGCCATGGCTCTGTGGTGAGGTCAGTCCCACAGCCAAACTCTGCAGAGATGCCTGTGAGTTTAAAATAACCTGCTTCCAGTATTCTGTGTGTGGGTGGTGTGGGTAGTGGCAGGAATGAAGGTRAACAGGCACTCTGGGCTCTGGAACACCACTGCTCTGTGATGAATAGCATCAGAAATAGCCAGGTAAGCTAAGATATTAAAGCTGCCTTTATTCCCCTTCCTCATTTCCAGCATCATTTGTGAAGCATTTTGATTGAGGATTTTTAAATAATACAGAATCTTTTCCTTATATCTCATGGGTTGGGCTTTCCTGCTCAGTTTCCTTCCCTGGTTCTTACTTCTCAGCCTTATCTAATTTCAGGGTTGGCTTCCCCTTAAGCAGGAGGTTGGTCCTGAGACCAGAAAAATCTCTGCAACCCTGATTCTGATTTTTCTGCTCCTCCATGCCTCACTTCCTCAGTTTCCAATGCTTACTTTCAGTGTGCACAGTCTTTGTTGAGCCACTTCCCTCTTTCAGAGTTTTGCACTTTCCTGAACCTCCTCTTTGCATAAATGCAACCAAACTGGTTCTTTTGAGCTCTGGCTAATCCATCATCCCAAACTTTTTCCACCTACATAGACTTCTATTAAGATTTAATTAACAACTGCTCTGCTGAAGCTTCAGTCCTGGTCAGCAGTATTGGAATTGCATTAAATAGAGGCATTAAAAATGCAACAGCACTCATGATACCAGGCTGGTAATATGAACCACTGCTTTGTGTGTGGAGTTTAACATCATCATAAATCAAGAAGCTCCTGTGTTGGGATCCTGTGTTCACACATGAATGGTTATTGCTGTTTGCCTTCTCTGGTGACRCTGCAAAGTCCTGGGGGCAGGAGCTGTCACTGCACACCCGTGGCAYTGGACATGCTGCCACCTCCACGTGGATCTTCTCTGCTTTTCCATTTCCTTCCTGAAGTCACCCTAGAAGCTGTCAGCAGCACTCAGGGGCACTGACACTGCAGAGCTTCACCTGCTTTGTGTCAAATGCACCCTCAAATGTCACATGTGGTCAGAAGATGTGCCCTCAAGGTCCCTTGTGCCCTCAAATGTCAAATGTGGTCAGAAGATGTGCCCTCAAGGTCCCTTGTGCCCTCTTTCCGCAGGTCCCATCAGCAGCATTTTGGTGAACCGCTATGGCAGCCGCCCCGTGGTCATGTTTGGGGGTCTCCTGTGTGGTGTGGGGATGATCTCAGCTGCCTTCTGCACCAGCATCCTGCAGCTCTACATCTGCGTGGGCTTCATCACAGGTGAGAGAGAGGAATCTCCTTCCTCCCCGTGCTTGGGGCTGCCTTGGGATGGCTCAGGGCATCCACACCTGGGCAGGGAGTGGGCCAACACAAATGCATAGGAAACTGGGAGATTAAAGGGTGGGGAGATAAAAATCTGGTGGGATAAAAATCTGGTGGGATAAAGAGTTGGTGGGACAAGGGCCCTCCTTGTCAATGCTTCAGATGAACTTCAGCAAAGAGCACTTTCCCTGCCAGTGCTGTGCTCCTGGCTGGACATCTCATGGTGGACATTCCCTGTCCTGRCTGGACATCTCATGGKGGACATTCCCTGTCCTGGCTGGACATCTCATGGGGGACATTCCCTGTCCTGGCTGGACATCTCATGGGGGACATTCCCTGTCCTGGCTGGACATCTCATGGGGGACATTCCCTGTCCTGGCTCATGTGGGATCTGGACAGGACTGTATTCTCTGCAGCTGACTGCTCTTGGCTACTCAGGGTGGTGGGACAGTGGCCATCGGTGGCCTCAGCTCCCCCTGGAGCAAACYCAGGTGGACTATGCTGTGCCCTGGGCAAGGCAATTCCTTCTGGGTACAAATGTGACTCTAAACCCCCGTGTTCCGATTTTATTGTGTGTTGTCTTCCCTCTGTGAGAGACATGAAATGAGATTTCAGGGGTTTGCTTTAGTTCACTTGCCCTTTGCCAACTTGTGARGTGAGTAGGTCCTTAATCTGAAAATAAGAACTGCTGGATTTGACTGGAAATAGGCAATAATTTTGCTATTGTGAAAAAAATAAAACTGTGTTTCCTTATTGAAGTTTCAATTTGAATTGCCTGTACTGGAACATGAAATTCCATATTGGAAACTCAAACATGAGCTCAGTCCAGCATCTTTAAAGCCTGCAGGTGCCAGGTTGWTGCTTTTAAAGGTAGATGGATTAGAGCTTTCCACCTGTAATGCTTAATTGTAAGCATTTTTGTTTTATTATTTTGGATAAGGTACAGCCAAAGTTTCTTCCAGTGCAGCTAGGACATCTGCTTGAAAACATGACACAATGAGTTCAAAATTGGCTTTTGAGGTTGCCAGGTGTATGGTTTAATGAATGTTCCCAATCTCTCTGCGGATGCATTAAGTGTTGCTGCTTTCTGAATGTGAAAAGTGTGAGCTCAACATTTAAAATCAATAAAACCAGCCACTAGCAAAGTAAATTGGGACAGAAAGTTTGTCACCCTGTTCTTCTATATCAATATTCCTTTATTAAATCTGTACAGTAGTGAATAAATCCCCTCTCTTAAACCTTACTCTTCCTAAGGATTGTCACTGTAATTAAATGAAACTGTGTTATTATTGGATGAATAAATCTTGCAGATTCCTTGAAAGAGACTCCAGGAACAAAGTGATTGGAAATAAAAATAACCGATATTTATTAATGCATGAGCTTGCAGCATTCCCTGCTAAACAAATSTCCTCTAGGAAGGGAAGGCAGTGACAGGACAAGGGGCAATGASTTTAAACTGACAGAGGGCAGATTTAGGTTAGTRTTAGGAAGAAATTCTTGATTGTGATGGTTCAGGKTKCCCASAGAAGCTGTGGCTGCCCCTGGATCCCTGGAGGTGTCCAAGGCCAGGTTGGATGTGGCTCTGAGCAACCTGGGACAGTGGAAGGTGTCCCTGCCATGGCAGGGGTGGGATGAGATGATCTTTAAGGTCCCTTCCACTCCAAACCATTCTGTGATTCTAAATTGGCTAACACTGGATTAGCACATGGAAACTGTAAATCCTTTGCTGGAAATATTCCATGCATTTTGGTGAGCAGGGAGGCTCAGGMAAGAAACAGGGCTGGAAAAAGGCACCAACTTCTGTTCTAAAGCACTTGCCAAAAACCATGGCAGGAGGGGATTCTGTGCATAACCCCAGTGGATTTAGGATGGATGAAGACCTTGCTCTTGCCCAGTTTCTGAATGTGTTTGCAGCTCTGGTCCATCACCCACCGCAGAGAGCTGATGGTGTGGGCAGTGCTCAGTGCACACAGATGTGAAAACACCCCCATCTCTCCTCTCTCTGTAACCCTGCTATTTCCTCTGCTGTTTCCTCTGTACTGTTTCCTCTGCTGTTTCCTCTGTGCTGTTTCCTCTGTGCTGTTTCCTCTGAGCAGAGCACATCTCTGGCTCTGTGCACCTTTCCTCCTGTTCGCTGTCCGGGTGAGGTGTGGGCTGATGTCACCTCCAGGCACGAGGTGTGTGCTGGGGGAGGAACATTGATTCCACAGAGAAGGGAAGATGTTTGTGGCCCTGCTAACGTGTTCCATGCCTCTAATTAAGCTTGAAGAGTTTTTGCTGGTCAGGCCTAACATGGAAGCATTCAAGGGCAGGTAGGAAGCCGCCTGCTCGTCACTGCTGAATCAGGAGAGAGGCTTTGAAAAAGTGGTTTACAATAACTGTGAGCAATCTGTAGACATCACACTCATTCTGGCTCCTTCCTCCTAGCATGGAAAAGAAATGGAGTGATGTAAAAGACCGTGCTCGTGTAATTCACAGGGATAGAGATAAAAAACAGTGTCTTGGTACCAGGAGGTCTGTGCCACAGTCGTGTGCCCCTGGCACATTAACAGAAATCTCTTCTGAGGAGCAGAGCAGGAAGGATCTGTTTGCAGGGAGGGATTAGACACGGCAATCTCAGCTGCTGACGTGATTATGCTGTTTGCATTTGCATGCAGAGCAGGAGCTGAGCTCTGCTGGTGGAGGCAGCTCTGTCCTCGGTGGCACTCTGGGCTTTGCATGCACTGGAAACCCCAAAGCCTCTTCCCMTTTGTTTCCCTGCAGTGCTTAGGAAAATAAATGGGGTTTGCAAGCTGTCAACCTGGGCAGGTGCCAGCCTGGATGCATTAAATTGGTGTTTCAACATGCAAACTCCTCTGCAGTCTGAGGTTGAAGCAGCGAATTTCAAAGCTAAATGCAAGGCAGTAGTAACTGGTCAGGGTTTAGTTCAGTCTGTAGCAATAAGRCTGCCATGAAATAAAATGGGATCTTGGGTGAGGCATGTGGGCTAATGAGAGTAAAATCTCTGCCATGGCTGTAAATACTGAGCATTGAAATACCTGGTCTGATTGTTCCTTGCTAATAAAATAAGGACAAGACCAATAACTCCACATCTGACTCCTGCAGCACCACTTATTTCCTTTTAATATGAGTGAGATGTATTTAATCCAGGAAAGGACACTCCCTCTGGCACAGGTTTGTTTCTGTTCTTGCTACACCACGGACAGACCTCTCTGTCATATCCCTGGGGAGAAAATGTGGTTATTGAGTAACGATTCCAGCGATGGAAAAGCTGCTGTAGTTTCTGAAAAGTGCAATAAAATGGATGTAAATATTTCCAACTAAAGTCAGCCAAAAGCTTAAAGTAAATTGAAATTCCAGTTATTTGATTTGAAAGTCTCCAAATTTAATTAATGGGAAGAGCACGAGGTAATATTAAATTAGATTTGTCCAACTGGCAAATTAATGTTCACGTAATAAAAAATTTGAGTTGATTATTGTTTAAGTGGGTAGCTGGCATCCAGTCTGATTTTCCTCCTCTGGAAGGCATGTGGTGCATCCCTACCAAAAATGACTCTGTGGAGATGATGGTTCAGTTTCTGCCCTTAATGACCAGCCTGGGAAATGGGGAATTAAGGCAGACTGTCACCCAYCATGCTGCATCTTCTCAGGTGAAAGAAATGCATTCCTATATCTCAGCACTGTCCAAGGGTGTTTTCTAGCCAGRTTTTCCTCTGTGGTTCTCAGGTCACCCTGAATTTGGCCCTATATGCTTTACAAGCAGGCTGCAMTTCCCAAAGATGTGCCCTGCCAGATATAAGGACTGTCTAAAAAAGTTCATGCTGAGAATGTTTTGTATCCAGATTTATCTTAATACGTTGCCATTTCAATTTATTTTTAATGTTGTAAACTTCAAAGTAATTAAAAAAAAAAAAGAATTTTAGACTTGGCAAAAATCATAATTTTGTAAACCCATTTAAACTGAAGCTATCCAGCATTAGCTGGATTCTGCTGCATCAGTTGGATTCTGCTCTATCAGTGACTAATGATAGTGTTCCTTAATTAATTTTGAGGACCTTGACCTTTCTAAATTCTCTTCTGTAAAGCAATATGCCTAATTATGTACTGCACAGTTAAACAAACTAATTATATCGACTAATGAACAAGAAAAAATCTTCATGACCCTATTTTCAGGATTCATGTTCTCTGATATAATCACTTCAAGGATTACATTTCTGCTTTGTTGTAATGTGGGTCATTCTTTCCTGGATGATAGAGGAGGAAATATATGGCATGATTTTTAAATGCCATTTTGATGGAGTTCTGAAAAATTAACTTTTTAAGAAAACACGTCAAAGAAATGCTTAAAAATATTGATGTTTGATTATTGATTATTGATGTTGGGCATTGGGAAGAATTGTTSGACATCAGGGAGAATTTTTTCACTGAAAGAGTAATTAAACATGGGAATGGGCTGCCCAGGGAGGTGGTGGAGTCACCATCTTTGGAAATATTCAAGAAATGATTGGACATGGGGCTCAGTGCTCTGGTCTAATTGATAAAGGTGATGATTGGACAAAGGTTGGACTCCATGGCCTTGGAGATCTTTTCCAACCTGAATGATTCTGTAATTCTGTGGTTCTGTGCATGGCAATTCTCTCAAACAGAGCCACAGGAAATCGAGACCATCACAGCATTTGGTATCTCTGCCTCCACATTGCACCTGTGCAAGACAGGCTGGCCAACTGAATTAGCAATGCAGATTTAAAATGGCATTTATATATCTAAATGCAATACAAATAAATTCTAATTAAAAGGAACACTCCAGGGTGCTGTGTAATTACCATTCTTGGTAGCTGTTTTGCTGTGTGCTTGCAGACCTCTCAATCTTTTGGATCAGACCCGAATTGCTCCCAGCACCGAGTCAGTCATGGCTGGGGAGGGAGATGTCATTTTCTGTGCAGGTCTGGCTGCCTGGGTGAGTTGGGTGTCCATGGAAGCCCCAGATGGATCCACTTTAGTGGTTGGCACTGGCACAGGCCAAAACAACCTTCTTCAAACTGGGAGTTGCCCTTTTTACTAAAATAGATCCATCTTCTCCCCCAGCAAGAGGGAACTCACCAGCTTTCTGTGAGGGAATAGTTTCAGTTCCCTCTGAAGCAAACTCTTGGTGCTAGTTTTGCCACCCAAGAGATTTGCAGTTCAAAAGGAAGGGTGTTCTCTGACTGAAAAGGTGTTTCTGGCATCTGGTTACCCAAATGTGGGAGCCAGAAGTTTAGAGACACTCTGGGCAAAGTTTGCATCTCGATTATTGTGTTGAAGGGCCACCAGTGAGCCAATTGTCTGGGAATTTCCTTAAACGATGAGCTGAGGAGAAATGGGCCTCAAATCTTCCTTTGTTTACCTGAACTGTTTTCCAGGATTTGGCCTTGCTCTCAACCTTCAGCCATCAGTGATAATCATCGGGAAATACTTCTTGAAGAGAAGACCCATTGCCAATGGCCTTGCTATGGCAGGGAGCCCTGTGATGCTCTGCACCCTGGCACCTCTCAACCAATTCCTTTTYGACAATTTTGGCTGGAGGGGCAGCTTTTTGATTCTTGGGGCAATTTTATTAAACTGCTGCGTGGCAGGAGCTCTCTTCAGACCCATCGGGGCAGGCACAGCGCCGGCCAAAACCCAGGTGCCTGAGGAAGGGAARAATGCTCTGAAAGGAAAGATCACTGAAGATGGTGTGGAAACGAGTGGTCCCCCAAATGTCACAGAAGAGGAAGGAGGAAAGGACTGCTTTGAAAAAGTCAACCAGTACCTTGACTTTTCCCTCTTTAAACACAGAGGGTTCTTGATTTACCTGATCGGAAACGTGCTCATGTTCCTGGGATTCTTCGCCCCCATCGTTTTCCTGGCGCCTTACGCGAAGCACACCGGCATCGACGAATACTCGGCCGCTTTCCTGCTCTCCATCCTGGCCATCGTGGACATGGTGGCTCGCCCCACCACGGGCATCGTCGCCAACAGCCGGTGGGTGAGGCCGCGCATTCAGTACTTCTTCAGCTTCGCCATCGCCTTCAACGGCGCCTGCCACCTGCTGTGCCCGCTGGCCTCCAGCTACACGGGGCTCATCGTCTACTCCAGCTTCTACGGGCTGGCCTTYGGCATGGTGTGCGCCATGCTCTTCGAGACGCTGATGGACCTGGTGGGCGCCGCGCGCTTCACCAGCGCCGTGGGGCTGGTCACCATCGCCGAGTGCTGCACCATTCTGCTGGGACCGCCCATCGGGGGTGAGTGCGGCTTCCTCCTCCTCTGCTCCCGCTGCTCCTGGCTTGGGTTTAACCTCTTGCAAGGGTAGTTTGTAGGAAATTAGTCTAGATGGGCTTTCTCTGCTTCGCTGCCACCATTTTTCCATGAGTAACTGGATATGGAAGGACATCCTGATGTTTTTSTCTCTCTTCCTTTCTGGGTAGTCCTCCAGTTGAGTAAATTTAGGAAAGTGATCTTTTAATCCTGGATCCCTTCAAACATTTGAACTCAACTCACAGAGCAGGACTTCCCATAACACCAAGAGCCTTGCACTTCAGACAACTCCTCCTGGAGACTCCTCCTTTTGCAAAAGGCTGGAGCCCACCCCAATTTGAGTAAAACACAACAGTTCTATGAAAGCCTCTTGTTGACTCCAATTTAAGCCTTGCTGTTTGCCTCTAAGGCTCTGAGTGCTTCACTTACCCGGTCATCCTTGTGCAGCTGATAGACTCAAGGCTGTTCTAAAACTAGTTTTAAAAAAGGTTAATTTTGGATGGAATAATTTGAAATATCAAAAGGCAGAGCCCACAAAGGTCGGTGTGGACAATGTTGAGTCTCCAGGAGGACTTTCAGCCATCCAAAGATAAGTAGGAGCAGTGATCTCCAATGATTTAAGAGCATTAATATTCCCTCTGTAGYATGAGCTCCTTTTGCAGTTTGAACTCTTTTCCTGGATTCAAAACTGAGATCTGGCTAGTGCTCCCTATGACACATCCTGCAGAGCTGTTTAATTCTTCATATTACTGCATAGCTCATGCAGTGTGACAGAAGCAGCTGTATCCTCTTGCTGTCTTAGAGATTCATTATTTAATTAATGACAAACARAAGAAAATACCATTTTAAAATGACCGTTTTCTGAATTATGTAATTTTCTGTGTGGGAGATTAGGTTAATGACAGAAGACTGCTAATGAGGCTAAAACAGTTCTGTGTAATAATCAGCAATATTAGTTTTGTAGGGTTTTCCCCACCATTTTAATAAGCAGCAAATTTATTGGTTCTTTGGCATTTTAATAACCTACTGCAGGGTTCTGCTTTAATGAACTAAGTAAATTGTTCCCAGTGTGTTTTATGACTTTATCTTATTCTCGAAGGAAAAGAGGCAAGACTATCCTACTGTTGAATTTTCCAATACTCTACTCATTAAAACTCTCATTGAAACCTATTTAGGAGACCTCTAGGTCATCCTGATGAGCAGAAAAGGAAAAACTGTTGCAATTAGCATTTGGTTGATGTTTCACCAGTAGCATGAAAAACACAGYGCATTGAAAATGGTGTGCCAAGACAGCTAGGGATGATTCAGGGAAAAAACACTCACCAAAACCAATTAAAAATACTATTTTTGTGATAAGGAAATGTATTTGGTGACCATAAAAAACAACCCTTGTTAGTGCAATGCAGTGGGATAATTAATCATCAGCTTTTCAACATTAAGRGTCAATCAGGAAATAATTAAAGGTCCCTTTTTTTAGGGAGGAGAACATATTCCAAAAAGTCAGAGAGCTAATGGATGATGGGCCAGTTTCAGGGAAGATTGTCTGTACTGTGAAGGCCAGGTTAGGAGTGGGTCTTACTTTAATTAGAATTTGGGATGTTAAGAATGGTGTGTTTTGCCCAGCAAATGGGAATTAATGCTCAGGATCATAATCCCAATAAGATTTGCATTCATTTTGACATAATGGAGAACGGTGACATTTCAATTAAGCCATCTCCCTTCAATTACTCTGCAGCTCCGTAGCAGAGGCATTAACCTTTGAGAGGAACCTGTCACATTTGTCTTGGCACTGAAATTGCCTGACATTGACAGCATCATCTTTGCTTGCCCTGAACGAATGTTTTCCAGTTCCACGCTGTGCCCTTTCCTCTTTAGATCATGAGTGTAAATGCAGAAAGGGCAGCTGTRACCAAAAGCTGAGTCCCCTCTCATGCTGCTGAGTGACCCGTGCTGGAATAAATCTGTGATTTGCCAAGACCCAGTGGGCAGGTGCCATGTCTTGAAAGTCTTCCCAAAAGCTGCTACTTTTTGACTGCTGAGCCAAATGGACATCGTTGTAGCTGATCATTGGAGTCAGTGGAATGGCTGCCTGCAGGCTCTGTCATCAGAGGATTGGTTTAGCACAGAAAAAATAGATGTGCTGGAAAAGTCCAGCCTTGGCAATGCAGGTTCTGTTCCCTTCTACTGAACTGTGCAAATTATCAGAGCATCACCTGGACCAGTGCTGACTCCCCACAGCCTGTGCAGTGTTAACATGTTCAGTGTTTGCAGGCTCAGAGTATTCGTGGAAGAAATCAGAAGTTCAGAGAATATCTGATCCAAAACTCACAAGGGTCTTCCTTTATATATAGGATATGAAAACACAATATTCTTGCCTACATCTCTAAATTCCCTTTTTTGTTGTTTTTWAATATATGTTTTACAGGAATTCTTATTGATACCTTCGGGGACTATAAATATATGTTCATTAAATGTGGAGCTGTGATGGTCCTGGCAGGAACCTTTCTGTTCATCATGAATTATTACAATTACCGTATGCTTGCCAAGGAGGAGAAGGAAAGAAAGGCAAAAGAAGAGGATCCTAAATCTGTAAGGACAGAAAATGAAGGCAAAAATAACTGGAACAAAGACTCTGCACAGGATGGGCGTGAGCTGGAACCTTTGAGAAAGGAAGGAGAAGGAGTAAAGAAGGAAATGAATGGCACAAATGAATTTTAAAGTTGTTCACATGGGCTGAATGGGAAATGACTTCTGGGTTGTTCAAGTGAGCACCAGCTGTGAAATCACCTAGGTTTTTAAATTTTACTCTGTTCTCTACCATGTGCATCCTCTATTGTAGAAGAAGACTAGGACAGAAACAAGTCCTGATTTTATAAACTGCTGGGACACTGCAGTATCCACACACATACCAAAGGTCCTGCAAGATTTTCCTTTAGGTATTTCCCATTTCCCAGAGAAATGGAAAGATGATGTTGTGCAGGGGGCCAGCACAAGGGTGACGTGCTACAGGAGTCCTTCTTCAGGTGCTTTGTCTGTGTGGGGCAGAAATTTAGTCTTAAAGGGCTTAACCCTTGATCTACATTAGAACAGTGCAAATTTAAATTTTCCCTAGGACGCTACAGAGTCCTTATTATCCAATTTCTGAGTRCCTTACCATTTCTAGCTTGCTTTTTCTCTACAACACCCTGGTGAGGCAGTAAGTGTTGCCACTATTAATTAATTGCACAAATGAAGAACTGAAGCACAGAGGAGCTTTGGGCATCATTGCATCAGTGAGTAAAGCTCAGGTGTGCCAGAGCTGAAATGGAATCCACTGCCCTGAGTTACATGCCTGAAAGCCCTGCTGAGCACAGGCTAGAAAATAGGGAGTACCATGGATAGTGGTGCATTAAACCACAGCCCTCTCTGCAGTGCACTCTGCTCACCATGTGCCTCGTGCCACCCAGAATTTGGGATTTTAAACACTGTCTCAGAGCTGAGATCTTGTGCCATATTTTTTTAAACTGCTTAAGTTGCATCCATGCTGGAGAGAATCCAAACCCAGCTGCCTCCCCCTTTGGGCTGGAACAGGTTCCTCCCTGGTGCTGGGGCTGCAATCCCTGCTGGCCTCGTGCCACCTTTCTGCTTTAATAAAGTTTCCCCAGGTCAGTGATGCAGAGGTGGAGCTGAGGCCATGCAGGAGGCTCTCATCCTGTGGTGAAGATGCTGAGCTGGGAAGATCTGATCTCTGGTGTGTTTTGTACCAAGCAGCCCAAGGGTCATGGATGCTGAACGTGACATCATGCGGTTGAATYATCAGACTTCTGTGGATTTTTGTGGATTTGATTAGATAAAAACAAGGACTTTTCTGGCAGATCACCCAAATCCAAAGCTAAAACCAGTCCAAAGGCTAGTTCTTCTTTTTCTTCACTTCAAAGGTACCCACATGTGATCAGATAATACTTTTTCATGATGTTGTCRTTGAAGAACTGTATTTAATTGTCACTTGTGTACACACTAGGAAGCAAGGTTTGTAAAAATACTTTCATAAATACACTGTACTCTTAAAATTAGATCATKCATATCTTCTCGTACAAAACTGTTTTGGTCAATTCTTTTGTTTCTTTGAAGAAGAGTGTTCTTTGGCCATTGACTTCAGTAGGACTTAAATTTTACCCTTATGTAATTTATATCTCATATTTTCTCTGAAAAAAACAAAATCTATATTATCTAATTAGGCTTTCAGTGCTGTATTTTTAATACCCTTTATTTCTGTCAAATACATCTGTGATATTTCATTAAAAAAGAAGCTTGTGAATATTTYCCAATATGCCTTCTGGAAGCTGTCATATACTAATAAAGCTATTTTTAAAARTTAAATGAGCTTACATTTGCCCAAGTGTGTAATGCTGCCTTTTGATTCAGTAAGGAGTTTACCCTCAGAGGGTTTCTAGTCCTGATTCCATGCACATGATTTTAAAACTCCTAATCACATTCCTGTTGATTTGGGTTCCTTGGACATCCTTGGTGGTCTGGGCCAGCCWGACTCACACCTCCCGTTGTYTGAATCAGTGCAGAATGACCYGGCAAGGACCTGACAAGRTGATTTTCATACCTTTCCACCAGGYTGTGTCAATTAATTCTGGGTGCAGTGACCCAGATCCCCAGCTGTCCCTACAGCAGGAGCTGACACTCGAGCTCCTCACCTCTCARAAACCCCAAACAGGCTTTTTAGGTCATAAAACATTATTAATACAGATAAAATTTTCAATAAAAAGGCGTTCTGTTCAGCTATCTGTGGAAATTCTCTGGAAAAGACGCCTTTGTTGAACTGCCCCTGAGGGCAAAAAAGTGTTTCACTGGATAAGTAGATCTTTAAGTCTTTGGAATTCTTCTAACATGAAGCAGGTACTTTATTTAACCTGCTCACCCTCCTGTCAAAGAAACTTAYACTGCCTTTAAGATTATGGCACTATTCCAGTCAGGTGAGAAGCCAGACTATTTTAAGACAATTTTGGTGATTATGGCTGGCYTTTTAGTGATGGGTGGCCTGACTCTTCCCTGTTACCTGTTCTGTTCCTGCTCCCACCCTACACTTAAAACCTCTGATCATGACATCCCACTAATCACTGCAGCACAGCAATGCCAAATAACTCTGTGCTTATAAACCTGGGAGCAGCCCTAGAAATGCTTCATTGACTCAAATCCCACAAATTCAACACCTTGCAGGCTCAAGCTCTAATCCTTTCTTGGAAAACTCTCAAAGTTTCCTAAGAATGTTTTCAGTTATTAAAAATGACTGGTGCAATGTGAAACAACCATTGCAAAAAGCCCTTGTGACGGAGTAGGAGCTGCCTGTGCATCTAATTTAGTGATTTGTGTGACAAATTGAACACAATATTCATATTTACTTAGATTTGGAAAGAACCTGAGCAGGCAAGTCAAGAGGTGTGAGTGTTGTACCATAAATATGCGTACCGGGCACAGGGGGGATGTTTGGGATATCAGACGTGCAGGGAAGATTGAAAACACTTTCTTTGGAGTGCAGTTATGAGACTTTTTCATATTTCATTAGCTTGTGACCTTATTAGAAGCAATTGCCCATTGTTTCYAGGGTTGCTTGAACTTCATCAAGAGCCTGATTTGGATGCTGAACACTCATTTCCCAACAAGCACAAAAGAAGCCAAGAGAGTGGTGTTTGATAGGGATTTGCTTTAGATTTATCTCACATATTCATTTTTTATTTACAGCTCCCCTCACTTTTACCCTGCCTATGTTTWGCTTTCTGAATTTAAAGTCATGGAGGTAAAATTCAGATATTTCACTGCTTTGATGGGCAAAATTTGTACACCTTCCTCCCTCCTTTTTTAAAGGAATGTGAGAACAGTGACTGTGCCATGTGATGGAGTGTCACACTGCCAGAAAGGGACATTTTCTGCCATCACAATTGGGCCAGGTGCTGCTTTGCCCCACACATAAACATCTTTTCAACAGGAAGAATGAACCATGTCCACAAAGTGCAAAAACACACAAGGAGAGTTAAGAAACCTGGAACCACAAATGAATAGAGGCAGCTCGGTGGTGACTGTGTTAAAAATTAGCTAGCAAGCAAACAAACAAATGAAGTGYCAGCCTATATGTTTGAAATATGCAATCATTTTAGACGACACAGGAGATTATTCAGAAGGACAGTTCCCATGGCAGCTGACACCAAATTTATTTGGCTGCATTCAGAAAACGCCTCGTAGACAATACAGGTGCATTCAGATTACATCTGGAATGAATTTAAAAAATGGCTTTCGTGCCCTCTGTGGCAACAGTGACATTGTCTGTAAAAYWGTATTATTTAGACTTATCAGAACYGTGTGAGAGTGTTTTGATGAGTGACATTCATAACTGTCAGCAAAGCTCWCCACAGTGGCAGTGCAGCTCCGGARCACGGATTTGATTTGCTCYCTGCTGTGGCACTCAYKRAAGTATTGCTGTGCCTTAGTTTGGGTTTGGGAAGAGGCTCATTCACATYCTGACACCAAAAAAAAATGAACATCTGTAGGTAAATGGGATGTGTCCCACCAAAATGTGTCACATGAAGAAAGTCCCACCTCCTGTGGGAGCGCTTCTCTTTGGGATAGGCCCCAAACAAGAATGTGCTTCTAAAATTTCCTGGTCAAATCCATTATCTTCTGAGGAGGGGAAGATAATMATTCACCAAAAATGTCAGCTTCAAGGTCTAATTTTGACACAGAAAGCTCCTTTTGAATCCTGGATCCTGTTTGATGTGCAAGGCAGATGAATGGGTACAACTGAAATGAAACAGGAACAAGCACTTGCCTCGTGCATCCCTTCCTAGATAGATAGATGAGATTCTGAAGTAGTTTTAATCAGTATGTAATCAGTCCTGACCATTAGTTATGCCTCTGATCACAGAGCACAGCTCCAGAGAGAGATCCTGAGAATATCTAGGAGGTTCCATGCATTATTAAGTGAAAAAACCACAGACTCTACCTATCACCCATTAATGCTGTGTGCAAGAAGTGCTTGTTGAGCAAACTTGCCARCTCTAATCATTCTCCCAGCAGACTGTGGAGGTTTTTTTTGGCACTTCTACAAGTCTAATGGAAACCTCCACAGCCCTGCTCCACAGAGGCAGCGTGGGGAGGGAAATCTCTCTTGATTTCTGAGATAAYCCAACCTCGTGTGCACGTGTGTGCGCCCACATCCAGCACTGCTCCAACAGATCGAAGGGAAAATCCACCTGCTGAAGGCTGGGATGGCTGCACTCCTCTGGGATGTCAGGATTGATGTGTAAAACACTGTGAGTCACTCAAATCTGTCAGGAGGGATCCTCAAAGCACCTTTGGTGGTGCATTTTTGATCCCAGCCGAGTGCCAGGGGCAATGGGAAGGGAGAAGGGAGCTCATTTCAGCACCACCCCCAGACCATGGCCAGGGACTGAGGAGGGAACACAGGCTGCTCTCCGTGTCTGTGCTCCCCTTTCCACTCTTTCAGGCAGGACAAACCATGTGATGAAGTTTGTTCACAGCTCATGACCCAAGACATGATGTGTGTTGATTCATATTTCTTACTTCTTTCAATTTTCTTTTTAATCAAAAAAGATTGTGAGTGCAGTGGCTAGAAATAAATTGAATTAACTTACTGAGTAGGTATTTATCCTCTGACTCACCTGTTACAGATATCCTTCAAAATACAGTATTTTGTAGCAGATTTCAGTATGAAACATGAGGGACAATGATATTATGATTTCAGCTTTCAGCCAAAGATAGTAATTATACACCATATAAATAGAAGTGCAGTGAAGCTGCTTTGTAATTACGATGTAACTAAGCTGTACCTCATTTACTTRTATTCTGAAGTGCATCTGGAGTTAGCAATTAGGGTCAGTACATGATTAAACACTTACCTTCACCAATCCCAGTGTATATAACACCATACTTACCTTCACATGTGCATTATTTTTCACTCATATCTGCTATGAACCCAGATATTTTCCAGGGATTAATGACAGGCTGTGAAAAGTTGATAGCCTGAAGTTCAGCAGAGAGCCRTTAAAGTGGCCTGGTCATTAATCCCTAGGAAATACCCTGCACCAAGGTTGTTATAAGGTGAATATGGAAAATATCTTTCCACTCATGTTGACTTTTGTCTTGGCTGTTATACCTTTGTCAGTGTGCAGGAACAACACCCCAATTTTGGGTGAGCCTGGTGTAAAGAGGGTGAATCCTCCCTCAGTTCACCTTGCAGAAGGCTTGTGCTCCAGCCAGCCTGTCTCAGCCACAGTTTTTGGCAATCTTTGGAGGCCAATTTTAGACTGAACTTCTGTTTTCTGAGATGTGTAATTCCAGCTTTTCTGAGCTGAGGAACAACACCGGCAGCCAAGGAAAAATATCCATTACCCGGGGAATATGTAAAAACACTGTTTCATCAGTCATCCCGCTCACACAACTCCCTCCCAGAACTCAGAGTGGTAATGAAAGTAATTTAACACACATCTATAATTAATTTACTACATTCTTCCTGCCGATGGCAATCATCCTACCTAGGAAAGTTCATGAAATTGATCTTAATGCATAAAAATAGAGATGGAGAAGCGTTGAAGGTTTATTTCCAAGCATGTAAGCAGTTWAGCACTGTTTGCAGAACCGATTTGGGGCTGATTTAGCAGCAGCCGTTACCCTGTGAGAAATGGCAGYGAGCACACGAGCAGAGCAGGGCTTTGCCCTCGACACAGGCAGGTTGTGAGCRCTGCTGAGAGCAGCAGCCTTTGCTCCTGCTTTGCATAATGTGAGCAGAAATGTGAGTGTGGGCTCCAAGGGGCAGTGCAGGAGGGGACAGAGCTGCTGGACAGCTGGACACGGCCTGCAGYAGCTCAGATGGACAGCTCTGGACACTGCAGAGCATCCAGATGTGTCTGCACACACATTCACCTGGGCACTGCTGCATGCAGAGAGCAGGCACTGTATTGGTGTGACAGACAGCCCTAATTGTCTGCTGCTTCTAGAGCTTCCTAGAGCAACAACAGCATCCTTTTGTTGCTGAGACAGCACTGGATCCTTCTCTATGATCCATTATCATTTTTTCCAGGCTTTTCTGCAAAGGCTTTTTCCAGCCTTCCCAGTGTCTCTGTGCTTGGGACGGTCATTCACTCACCTACAGGCTGTGATCTGCCCTTCCCAGACACCCTAATTTACTTTAAAATGCAGCTCATGACATTATGGCTTCAATACGAGCTGGAAAACCTAAAGAAGCAGGAGCCTGTAACAAATAATATTTCAATGCTCTGCAGCAGCTAAATAAATATGTGTATAAATACATGTATAAATATGTGTATAAATAAGCAGGGAGGCTTTTAAGTGTGTTTT